GGCCTGGATTGCAATCTCTAATTCATCCCAAAAGGTGTTCTATCGGATTGAGGTCAGGACTCTGTGCAGGCCAGTCAAGTTCCTTCACCCCAAACTTGGTCATCCATGTCTTTATGGACCTTGCTTTGTGCACTGGTGTGCAGTCATGTTGGAAAAGGAAGGGGCCATCCTCAAACTCTTCCCACAAAGTTGGGAACATGAAATTGTCTAAAATATCTTGGTATGCTGATGCCTTAAGAGTTCCCTTCACTGGAACTATGGGGCCAAGCCCAACCCCTGAAAAACAACCTCACACCATAATCTCCCCTCCACCAAACTTTACACTTGGCACAGTGCAGTCAGGAGAGTACAGTTGTCCTGGCAACTGCTAAACCTAGACACATCCATCAGATTGCCAGACAGAGAAGCGTGATTCGTAATTCCAGAGAACACGTCTCCACTGCTCTAGAGTCCAGTGGCGGCGCGCTTTACACCACTAGATCTGCTGCTTTCCATTTTACTTGGTGGTGTAAGGCTTGGATGCAGCTGCTCGGCCATGGAAACCCATTCCATGAAGTTATGTACGCACTGTTGTGCTAATCTTAAGGCCACTTGAAGTTTGGAGGTCTTCAGCTATTGACTCTGCAGACAGTTAAGCGACTTCTGCTCACTGAGCACTTCAGCATGTGCTGACCCCTTTCTGTCATTTTACGTGGCCTAACACTTCGTGGATGAGTTGCTGTTGTTCCCCGTTGCTTCCACTTTGTTATAATACCACTAAAACAGCTGATCGTGGAATATTTAGTAACAAGGAAAATTCACAGATGGATGTATTTCACAGGTGGCAACCTATCACGGTACCACGCTTGAATTCACTGAGCTCCTGAGAGTGACCCATTCTTTCAAAAATGTTTGTAGAAGCAGTCTCTAATTCAGGCAGTAAAGAAAATGGGGAGAAGTGAGGTTACAAAATGAAAATTCATGGTTAGATTTCAGATTCAGTGGTCATAATAATTTACATTTCAGTTTGGTCATAATGTACTGCCAATTTAAAAATGTCTAGATTACCTGCAAGATGCGGTCCTGTGCGGCAGGAGTTTTGGGCGTCCTCAAGGCGATGCTGTTATTGGCAACGTTATATTCAGAAAGCAAGGTGCTGGATGCGGAGTTTGTGATTCCAGATTCCTCTGCTGTCTGGCGGGCAAGCTCACTGGCCTGGCCAATCTTTACTACTTCCTCCAGCTCTGCGTCCGATATCTGAAGAAAAAAAAAAGGTACATTTCCTTAAAGCGCAATTTATATTTCTGCAACAGAAAAAAAAGATTAGAATTCCAGTCGCTAGAAGGACTTTCTTTAAAATGAGAGTCCATGTAATACCATTTCCACATACGGAAGTGAAGTGAAATCTAAAAGTTCTGGTCCTGGGAATGACACATTCTGGCACAAAGAATTCCGTGCTCAAAAGAGTGTCACAGTGGGGTTGATTTACTAAAACTGGAGAGTGCAAAATCTGATGCAGCTGGGCATAGAAACCAATTGGCTTCCAGCTTATAATTGTCAAAGCTAAATTGAACATATTGAACATAGAAGCTGATTGGCTACCATGCACAACTGCACTAGCTTTTGCACTCTCCAGTTTTAGTAAGTCAACCCCTGTGTGTAGTCCCTCATAAAGCTGGCAAGATAGCATGACATGAAGGCACAATCTAACCATAAGTGTTGAGGTACAGCTCCATGTATAAACATGAATTTGTAGGTCACTAGGCTACATTAAGGCCTCTGTGTACTAGGTGCACCTGAGTTACCAAGCATCCCTACAGAAGGGGTGTTTTGCTTTAAACTGCATGAAGGATGCAGTAAGAGGGATTGTTTTTATGTATTGCTCTAACGCACCAAAATGCAGAGGTGTGACTGTACCCTTACCCCCTTCCTTAACAAGGGTTAATTGCGAATTAAGTCTGAAGGGTAGAAGAAAAGGCTGCATTACTTACTCCATTCCCTAACCACTGGCTTTCTTCTCCCTGAAGATCTGGGTTGTGTGCGGGTCCTCATGTACAAGGCAGGATTATTAGTCCTGCGTTGTATTCGATGAGGTCAGAGTGCGACCGCCCCACCAGAGCCACAGGGAGGTACCAGTCACACAGCATGGAGGAAGACTTCTGGAGGAATGAATAAGGCTACGTTTTTATCGTGCTTTGCACATGTGAAAAAAGGACATGGGACCCAAAAATGCAACCGCAGGTTGGTTTTGGTGCTTTTTTTTTTTTACAGCACAAAAAAATGCAGCAAGCAGGATTTTATAAAATTGCCATGGATCCGTAACTGACCAGAGTGAAGAGTTCCATAGGACATAATGCTCATGAGTTTTTCTTCCACTTTTGTAATGCAAAAGCCTAGAAGTATTACAGCTCATTCCTCTAACTGCAGACTTAAGTATTTAACCCTTGAAGTGTGGGAAGGCCCCACTGTAAGTGTATTTTTTTTCTGGTGCCCAGAGATGGGCTTGATGGAAAAGTAACACTCTTCACTCTTCACCTTGCTTTCTTCAGCAAGGTATATTCCGCCATCCACATCAGAGCCCTTGCTCTGTTGCTATAAGGCAGGAAGGTGTCCGGTATGCAGGAGCACATGTCTTCCCTCATATGACAGCACATTGGTCTGAGCACTGTAATTGGAGACAAGAGGTTAGTGAAATCGCCAACCCAGGAAAGCTGTGGCAAAGGAGCTTACTCTGGGTGGACTCCTAGTGCAGAAAGGTAGCAAAGGAGAGTGAATCTGTGGTAGATCTTGATGTTCCAGGGAAATCCACAAGGACATCAAGATTTTAGGACTACCTTGGGGCATAAACATCCCTGTTGTCAATATTAGAGCTGAGCTCATGGCAGGATGATTTTAAAATTTTGTATATGTATGAGAGACACAACTCACATATTCAGAAAGAGGTCAGCAGTAGTATCCTACATGTCTCTGTCAGTACAGGTCAATTTTAAATAGACCTGAACTCAAAAAGTGAAAGATTTGTTAAATGGAAACATTTTGAAATACTACTGTGCCTAAGCAGTACCCTGAAAAATGTACTCCCGATAAAAACAGTGTACTTTCTATCATGTGACTGTGCCTAAACACTCCTGTGTCTACCGCCTCATAGCGGTGTATCTCCTTGCTGGAGAAAAAGCAGATGAACATGATCATGCATGTCCCTGCTTCTGCTTTATCCATTGTGTAGACCTGTGCTTCCTACACCTTTTTTGTGACTTCTTGAAACATTACCCTCCAGACATTAGATCACTAGTCATCGAGCGGCAGCTCTGATATAAAGGAAGCAAATCCGTGTTCCTTTACCAAGATGGCTGCATCCACACTGATTCACACAACAGAGGACAATTCAATAATACAGATAAAATTAGCCGCAGGGAGACCAAAGACAATACTGATTACTGTTTTTTTTTTTCTGCATGGCTTTTTTGGGCACAGGTCATTCAACTGTTGAGGCTATTGTACATGAAAAACCAACCTCTCCCTTATATTGTCTGCTTGTAGAATTGCATTTTCTCTAATTGGTGTGAAAGGCATTTCTGAAAGGGTGAGGGCCTACACTGATAGTATTTAAAAAGGAACTGCAAACAAAATAAACCAAAATGATGCCAACCAAAAGCATTACAATGGTGTCAAAATGTATTTTATTTACCTTTAGCTTAAAGACTAAGATCACCTATTATACCATGTTATTATCCATATTTAGGGTGTAACATGATGCTAGACCACTGTCTACCTCTTACAGCATTGCTGGGTTCTCCTTCCCGGTGGCTCCTATCACTTTAAATTTAGCTTGGCTGTGCATGACTTCACTCACACATCCGTGTCATTCATGCACAGAGATCTTTGAAATAAATAAACTACAAGTCCCATCTTCTTTGGATGCAGAGGTAATTTTAGTTATCAATGGAACATAAATTAAGTGATTACCAAACTCGTAGCCCATTAACATTTCCTCCAGCTACATAACTAAATATCCATACCTCAGTCCGGACATAAACTTGGAATAGGAGCTTGCAGGAGCATGTGCATTGCAGCCACAAATTTTCAGGCTCATATGCAGGAAAAAAAAATAAGGGCAGATTGTTTTTTCTGCAAACGTGGGTGTATTTTTTTCCTTTTGCAAAATGTCGACTTCGACTTTAATGTTACTTACTTGCACCTCTATCAGGTGGGAAGACCTGTGCTGTTAACATCAGAAGAATAATGATGACAGTATGACATGAGGTCGGAAAATCAAGCAAAAAAGAAAGGTAGCAATGAGTAAGGGGGTCAGTGCAGGAAGGAGCAGCATGGAGAACAGGGACCTATAGAGTTAGGAAACAGAAGACAGATTTGAGCAAAGGACACTCGCTGATGAGGTTGTCATGCCTCCAGACCTTGCAGCCATGAAAGAATTACATGGGTGGGGGTCAGGAATCTCTGTGACACATTCAAACTAGAAGAGGGACTGGTATTTACATCATAAAGTGGCAACAAAGCCACTTTCAGTAATCAGTTAATATGAAGCATTAGAGTATTTGGAAAGCCCTGGATCAGTATGCTGCTGTGCCTTATGTTTTGGGGTTATGTTCACACTTGTGGCTCGAGTGTGCTTTTAAAAAGAAGTGAATGGTAATGTCCAGCTTGGTTTGCAGCCATTGGAAAACAAATTACACATTAATCAGTAAAAATTAGGTTTCTTTACAGACATTGTGACATATGTGTGCTTATTTTATACCTGGGGAGAAGGCAGAACTAATTTGCTTCTCTTCTTAGTCAGCTCAGAGACCCCACCAGTTGTCTGGAGGATGGCAGCAGGTAGATCAGATTCCTTCTTCCTTTTTATGTTCTGCTTGTCCTTTTTCCTCTCTCGTGCTTCTTTTTCACTGCAATTGAAAATTATGTGAGTGAACCAATTTACATTCAAGTGTTACTAAACCCAGGCCCCTGCATTCACTATATCTGATCTCCCACAGCACACAACATAGAAATGCAATTATTTTAGAATATATAAACTGCTAAATACCTTTTCTCATCAGCAGTTAGAGAAGTCTTGTGATTTCTATCAGTGTTCAGGCCGAGCACTAGCTAAAGCTTGTAGGAGGAGTTTTCTTTCTGCTCTAGGAGGATGCAGAACCCCTGACCTCTGTCTGACCAGTGCTGATTGGCCCTTTGCTGATCACATGCACTCTCCCAAGAAAAAAAAAAAAACTCTCTAGCGATACCAAACCGAGCATGTGCAAAATGCCTACAGTTCAGTCTGTCTTATCAGGAGATAAGTCGTTGCTTAACCCCTTGACGCCGACGTCACACAAATATGCGGCCTTACTGAACTGGGCTTTTTTCCATGGGGCCGCATATTTGCGTACCTGTCTTTGTGCTGGGAGGGAGCCGCACTGCGCGCTCCCAGCACAAAGACCTGGGTGTCACTGAGAGCCCCGGGTCCTGTTCTAACGATCGGGACCCGGGACTCCCGATTCCGGGTCACATGATCACTGTGATAGCATCTGATTGGCTATCACAGTGATCAGTCACTGTGCAGCCCGGCCCACTTGTTTTTTTTCTCTCTCTATGAATGGAGAAGAGAGATAAATTGTATCTCTCTAACTCCTGGCATAGAGAGAAAAAAAAAAAAGTTTGTGAAAAAAAGATAAATATTAAAAAATTAAAGGAAAAATAAAGAAAAAATACCTAGATCAAGGTTTGATCTAGTTCAGTGCCCAGGATTAGTGTTTGGGTCAAGGTAAGGGTCAAAGGTCAGGATTTAAAAAAAAAAAAATTGGTATCTGTGTCAGTGTCAATGTGTTTTAGGTATAAAAAAAAAAAACAAAAAAAACAAAAAACAAAAAATGCACACTATTGTTTCTGGGCGGTATTACGGGTTCAAACAACAAATAACATACACATATATAGTATCGCTGCGATCATCAAGAGCTGGAGAATATATTTTGGGCTGTTCTTTGGTGGTAGGTTATGGTGGTAACAAGAAACACACAGCTAAATAAAAAAAGTATTATTTTTGTATCATTTTGGGCTTGTTTTCCTTTGAGAATAAAAAAAAAAAAAAAAAAATCAGAAGATATCCATTACCATTTACCACCAAATGAAAGCCCAATTTGTCCTGAAAAAAATGCAGTATAATTCACCTGGATGTACAAAGTAATTGTGATGATATGTACAGTTTTACTAACATGTCAGCGTTGCAAAATTCTGCCCTAGGTATTTAGATTTGTTTTACCCTTAGGCGTGAAGGGGTTAAACAAGGGGAGGAAACAGAGCAATCAGGATCAAACA